ATATATTTAATATGTCAAACATTATAATGTAAATAAATATGTATGCAAATATATGTGGAGAATATATTGAAAATCTACATGAATTTAATTTTTATATAGTTGAATGACTTTAAATACAGATAAAAAAATTTTTTTAGTAGCTATAAATTTGTTTTGTTTGAATTATAAGTATAGATGGCAGCACTATAGATCGGAAGTCCCGAAATGTTGTATTGCCTGTCTAAACGAGGTTTATGAGTTTGTGTAATTTGAAAGTAAAAAATCTACAAACATTTAATTACGCAATTTCTATATATTTTGTATTTGCTACATTTATCTTTAGTTTTGATATTTCAAGTTCTATTTATTATGCTGGCTGTGGCTTACTGTAGAATGAGCCAAGATTTTGCTAAATGCCCTTCCCTACTCTATTAATGACATTTGCTAGAAAAATAAAAATGCTTTTAGCTTTAGTTGAAGTTAGGGATAGGTCAGAATAAGCATTTAAATATACCAGCAATTTGTATGAGATTTGTCTAAACGAAAACATGAAATGCAATCACTCGCAGAGCTGCATGGAACTCTGGGATTTTCCTGCTGACATTACAGTAATGCTAGTTACCCTTTTACTTTTAATAATCTTAATTACTAAATAAGTTTAGATATTTAAATTAAAAGCTAAGATATTTAATAATAAAGTTTATATATTTAAAATAAAATGTAAAGAGATTTAACAAGAAGTTGAAATGAATTTGTAACTCGTACATTGTTCTAATTTATGAAGATGAGTAGCTGCGAATTTTTGAAATTTAAAATTTCAATTCTAAACTACTTTTATTGTATTTCTATGAAGCATTACAATGAAGTATTACGAGTATTAAAATGAAAGTAATTAGTGACAAATCTACAGAACAATTGCTCTTAAAATTGACTTCAAAATACATTGGGATGCGCTGAAATTCTATTGAAAAAGCGGCAACGCGTTTTTTGTAACGCGTCCAGTTGTCATTGTGATCTGAACATAATAAGCCACGTCTACTTCTGGTTAATATTTTTTTTGATGTTACTGTTTAATAGCATCGAGTCTTGATGACGTTGCTCATTATAATTTTTTAGAGCTCTCATAACTTGCGAATGTTGCATTGCGAGCCTGGAAAATCTCTTTAAGAGTTTGACACAACCCAGGAACAACAACCCATGTAATAACATATCACTGTAAAAAGTTATTATTTTTTTTTACATTGATGTGTTATAAGAGTTGTTGGGTCTTGCCATCTTTCTCTCAAGAAAGCGTTCAGCTTTGCTTTAAAAAGTAATTTGAATCTTCCAAGCCAAAGAGCAAAATGTCACAGCAAGTTCACTTACCCGGACCAAGCAAGATTTGTGGAGAATTCGCGTGGATGATGTTAACCAATGGGAAAAAGATTCCGTTGAAAATTGCTTTTGCTCCCCATGAGTAATCAGGATAATGTCTACATTTTGGAAATGCATTTTCCATCCGGTTTCAATTTTGCCCTGGAGAGTGCTTCGCAAACCAACACCTGACTTTGAACAACCGTGTGTTGGGTGTCTGATCCATTACCCAGAAAAAGTTTTTAATTAGATTGGCCTGTCACATGTTCGTTTAGTGAAATGCGAGGGACGCAAAATCATATGTGTGTTTTCACAAGCACAAGTTGCCAGTGAAATTTGCCTGTACAGCCACAGAGGCGAGAAAAATTGGCCAAAGAGGGAATTTCTGTAGAGTGTTTGCACAAAGCGATAAATTTATTGAGCAGCACGTTTTGGAATGAGCTGCACAACTTACCCGAAATGGATCAGAACGAATACACTTAAATGAAACAATTCTGAAACATTGATATGAAAAAAAAAATCTCAAAGCTAAACTACTTGCTGAAGGCGAAAGCCATAAGTTTTTTTTTTTAGCTTATTGAATTTTTTTTTCTCCAAACTCCAATCCTGTTCAAATTCAACACATGCATCACAAGTCATGGATGTGTAAAATACAAATCATTGGTCTGTTGGTTCTAATGCCACTTGCCATACCAGCAAGCCTGCTTGGTGAAACCAAGCAGATTTAAGGCAGAGGGTGCGCTTCTTGTTTTTCAGTGGCGCCATCTATGGCCAAGAATTCGACTTCTGCCGCATCATACGTCACACCTGTTTATAAGGCGGATTCATTCATACATCCATGCATTCATCCACAGATCGTAATCATTTAATGTGCTTTGTAATCTGTTGGACTCGACTGGATTTGCAATGCTCGACAATCACAACCAACATTGTATTTTCGTCCATTGCTCTGATGATTTCAACATGCAAAAAAATCATTGAAATTGCTTCTGGACCCACGTGACCTTTGCAACGCGGATCTATTAAAAAAAATTCCTTGGAATCGTCTGGAGTAAACAGGTTATTTGACGTCCCACCGGATGCATTTCCGTCCCTAGGAATATAAAAGGAGGTGTGATTGAGAGCTCCAGCATATTGCTTTCCTCTCAGAGTCTTTTTCTCAAAACGCTCCTACAACCATGAGTTCAGCAATCGTATGCGGTGTTTTACACCTCAAAAGATGCGAGATTAGGGGGGGGGGGCAGTTTCGAACCAGGGAGCTGTGTGTAGTGTCCATAACGGATGATACAGCCGTTCATTATAGGTTTGATGTTGGGTCGATCACTTGTAACGAAGACTGGAAGTCGGCCCAACATAGCTATCATCGTGTGCATGGATTTCCAGTCTTCAACAAGACAAAGGAGTGACCGTTGCATCATTAGGATTCTCCTCCACGTCTATCTCCAATTGCTGCGGAGTAACCCGGACAGAAAATTGCTGTCAGTGAAAGGCAATGCAGCCGAAAGAATTATCAAGCGAATGGTTATACCCTGTATCAATCTAACAACTAGAGCTAGCAGACTGTTTAACCGCCGACGTGATTATCATCTAAAATTGTGCGGACATTATGCCTTTGGAATGTAAATGGCTTGCTGTACAACCAAAGCCGTGATGTACCGCAATTGGTTGGAAACATACTGTTCTGCTTAAATCACAATATGATGGTTTTCCCTTCTTTTTCCAAAAAAGAAAGAAAGGTTAAGAAATGGGACAGCTCTTTTGTTCTCCCATTTTTTTTCAACACTCTGTTTGCCAATGCTGGACATTTTGGTTTTTGCAATTTGTGGATAAATGCTCTGTGGATCAAAACGCGTTTGTGTTGTGATGTTTTTGCATACTTGACATGTTGCTTTGATTTTTTCACAAACTGAATATATCACACTACTACTTTGAATGTAACAGTGACTCGATAAATAACTTGCCTGAGAAAGAAATATTGGCGTGGAAAATTTCTACCAGCACAAATTGATCATAACACACACACACACACACACACAAAAAATTATCATTATTTTTTTTTTTTTTTGACGTTGCAAGCTGGAAAGCAAGTGACGAGTCTAGCTCGTCTCAGCAGTTGAAAATTTTTGGAACTCTCACAATTTGTGAATGTTGTATTGACAAGAATGTAAAACAAGCATAAGACTCAAAATAAATCTTGGCTTGAAAATTTCTTTAAGAGTTTGACGCAACTAAAGACAAGTTGACCGTTATACAACAATGTAAAAAAAATTTTTTTTTATAGAAATGTTGATAAATTGTTTTGTCGTCACCAAAAAAAATTGTTTTTCAACCCTAACCTTGATAATGTTCACTTTAAAATTTACACATTGCTCTCAACCCACCCATAAGTGTGTGAGCGTGTTACACAATTATTGGCTCTGAAATCTGTTGGAGAGACTGCTCCACGGATTTGCGATACTCTGAAAATTTATTGGGGTGGTGATACTTGTTTATACATTGAAATGTCATTATTCCGAAATGCATTTGATATCTTTTTACAATGTTTGAAATATTAGTCACTTTCGACTCTGACTTTCCAAAAGTATTCCAAGCTAAATAACAGTGCAGCTAAATAACATAAGTTTTACAGTTGTGTGATGAGCTGGTTGATACAATTTTTTAAAAAAATACTTTATTGACGAGCACTGAACAATTGCATTTTTTGCTAAAACACTTTTCGTTTCAATTTGCTCTCGAAAACACACTCTCGACATGTGGTCAAAACCAAAAAATTCAGTGTTTGCAGTTCGAGTGTTTCAAATAGATGGGACAGGACCCCAATTAGGGCGACCTGTCCCAATATTTTAGTCTTTTGGTGTTGGAAAATTTAAATCAACTGCCCGCTCATGGTACAGGTGTTGTGATTTGAAAAATATCTTCATCTCAGAAAGTAAACCTCATGAAATCTATGTCTACAATTAGTATCTTTAGAATCTGGTCTTATTTCGTCCTAGCAGATGAAGCAGGTGGTGGAAGCCTGTGGATACTTCATCAAAAAACCATCTTCCGAGTGGCTGCGAAATACAAGAGTTTCTTTTTTCCTCAACCATTCTGATGATTAGTTTGTCAGTCATTCTGCAGCCTGTCGAAATATTGCTTTTTGATGATTTTCTGCAGTTAATTAATTCCAAACGATTTGAATGCCTTGAAGCGAGTGATCCCTGTAATTAGTTCAGGTCACTATTGATGTAGCATTTGATTAACGTTTCTTAATCAGCATTTCGGTTTGGATTGAGTTTTCGGACGAAAGTCATTTCGGAAAACACGTTGATAATTTCTGGCTCAGCCATCTGCATCACAACACCTGGCAGCCTGCAGGACCGTCATTGACTCTCATCATCCAAAGATTTCATTTGTAGGAAACGTATACTCTGATTGAACTCATAGTGTCAGATGAAATGGTGCAGCTCCTCAGTGTGCTAGTTCTTTTATAAAATCCGTTTGGGTACGTCCATGTAAGAATTTGTAGGAACATCATATGTCACATGACTATTCATATTACTTTTATGAGAGTTGCGAATGGCAACAGATCAAAAAATAATAATAAAAAATGAGTGTTTTAAAAATGTCTGCTGATCATTTTTATCCTGTAACTCCGTTGCGTACAACTGGTGACCCGGATTTTTGACATGGCTACAAAAAACAGTGAAAAGATCGAAGCAACGATCGCCATGGACGCCGAAGCTAATAAAGTAAGCATTAAAATTCCACCTTTTTGGAGAGAGAAACCCGACATTTGGTTTTACCAAGTAGAAGCACAGTTTCAAATAAATAAGATCACAACTGAAGAAACCAAATTTAATTATTTGATATCCCAACTGGAACCGAAGTATGTAGAAAATATTTGGGACATTATTAAAGACACTAAGCCTAACAAATATACCTTGGCGAAAGAAAGACTTTTAAATACGTTTAAGGAAAGCGAAAACAAGAGAATTCAGCGCTTAGTTACAGGATTAGAACTTGGAGATTACAAGCCAAGCCAACTTTTGCAAAAAATGAAAAATTTAGGAGCAGACGATTNTCTGCTTTAAAATCGTAGAAAATCATAGAGCGAAAATGTTCTCGAGTCAACTCCATTTTCTCTCCTGTTTAAAATTCATTCTACGCTAAACAAGTTGAAGTAAGTCAGTAAAAAATCGTCTGCCGTGTTAAAATACACTTTGTATTTTAAAATTAAACCGTTATTTGTATTATGTAAATTCGTGTCTGCGCGTATCTCAAAAATTTCAGAGTAACCCTCGTATAACGAGATGTTCTTCATATTTTTGTAGTTTTTAACTCAACCCGAAAATCAAAGTAACTCGTTATTTACGTATCGGAATTAAACCATATTTATGAAAGTTATAAAAATAATTAATTATAATCAAGATTAAACTGAAATGAAAATTATTAAACTTTGCGTTACACGCTAAGAAAAACAAACGAAAATGTTTTTCAGATTGCTTTTCTTTGGTATATAAAATAACTTGCAATTCAAGCATCGGAATAATATTATATTTATGAAAGTTAAAAGATTAGTTTATTTTAATTAAGATTAAATCAAAATAGTCACATTTTACGTTATACGCAAGGGAAAACCACGAAGATGTTTTTTTTAATTGCTTGGTGATAATAGGATTCAAGCTTAATGTTCATCATCATCTCAATGAAAATATTTTTTTTAAACAGCCATTTTTATTATTATTATTATCTTTAATAGATAGGGTACCATCTTTCTGAACAGAGCGAAAAGCTTTTCTTATTAACTCAACCCGGAAATCAAAGTAAGTCGGATTTTAAACTTCGAAGTATAATTGCTATAAAAATAACCAATTTTAATTAAAATTATCAAATTTTGCTTTACACGCTAACGAAAACCACGAAAATGTTTTTTTTTTATCGCTTTTATCGGTAATAGGATTCTAGCTAAATGTTTATTATCTAAAAGAAATTATTTTTAATTACCAATCATTTTTTTTTCCATCCTTGTAAAGCTTATCATTTTTGTGAATGTAACGAAACGGCATTATTATCTTTAATTCAATTCAGAAATCAAAGTAATTATAAATTTAAGTATCGGAATACAATCATGTTCATTAAAGTTATAAGAATAGTTTATTTTAATGAAGATTAAATTAAAATAATCAAATTTGCGTTACATGCAAAGGAAAACCACGAAAAAGTCTTTTAAATTGTTGAATGGTTATAAGTTTCCCGCTGAATGCTGATTATCGCAATGAAATTATTTTTTATAATCAAAAATTTTTTTCATCGTCCTTTAAAAGCAATCTGTCATCTTACTGAATATTGTGAAGCACTCTTCTTATATTAATATTTCTTTTTTACACAATCCAGGAATCAAAGCAACTTGCAATTCATGTATCAAAATAAAAGCATACTTATAAAAAAAAAACTATTGTAGTAGTAATTCTGCGATACAAGCTAAGGAAAACCACGAAAACGTTTGTCAGATTTCTTGATAGTAATAGGATTCCATCGAAATGTTCATTATAGCAATGAAATCATTCTTAATAATCAATCACTTTTTTTTATCATCTTTGATATATAGCCTATCTAAGTGAATGTTGAGAAATTTTTTTTGTACTTTTCTGTATTTTTTGAGCAACCCAGATATCAAAGTTACTTGTAATTTAAATTCAGGAATAAAATTATATTTTGAAAGACTTTTTGAACGAAAATAATTAGAATTTACGTTACGCACAAATGAAAACCACGAAAAAGATTTAATAACAAACTAATTGAACGCTAGCAGACAATTATGAGGCTCTATCTCAGAAATTATTAACATTTTCCTATTTTTTGTTCTTCATAAAATTAAATGTTTTGAGCTGCTTCGATTGCTTATAAAACTGTTCTTTATTTTATTTTAATTATTTTTTTTTTTTGTTATTTTCATATTTTTTAATAAGCCCTTAAATTTTTTTTTATTTTATTTTATTTTTTTCTTTATTTCAAGTATTTGAATTTCAGAACAGTATAAAAACCAATTTTTAAGAATATATAATTTTTTTTTCATTTTAAATTTAAAAATTTACAAATTATAAATCTTTTAAAAATTAAAAAAAAAAATTGTTCAGAATTTTCTGGCACAGAGACAGAGTGTTATTATTTATCATAACAATTTATAAAAATCAAGTAAAGAAAATTCAGTTGAGACCAGTGATGTCAAAGTTCACCCTTTCATCCGTTTGGTATAGTGATTGATCTTTATGTCCTTATCTGAGTATACACAGGCAAAGGATGGGATAAAAGTTTCTATATTCATTGTCTAAGAAGTGTTTCGATTGGTTTGAATAAATTATTAAAAGGAGCATGCGCATTGGTAAAATTGCGCCAAACAAAAATGCTAAAAATGCCAGTCTAGTAAGCCTGACTAAACGATTAAGCGATAAAGATGAAAACGATGGTGTGATCGACCAATCAAATGTCTCTATTTGTTAAAAAATCGGTCAGCCAAGCAACAGCCTTCCTAGTAATTATTTGTTTTTCATTAGTCAGTTCGCATATTCCCTTCAAATAATATAAATGGGCAGAAATGATCATCCTACTGTGTTCCGTAATGATAGATGAGTAGGGAAAAAGCAGGGAATTTTCAAAACAACTTTTAAGCAATGCGCATGTGCATAACTGGGTAGAATGCAGTCTCTAGAAACTTGTGCGAGGTTTGGGGTTCAGGGATATTTGGTCAATTTAGGAATTGGTAACTAAGCGGAGTGAGCTTGACGCTAGCTTTTATCCATCAATCTTCTTATAACCCTATATTGATTGACCCTACAAACTTTTTCGCCAAAGCAATTGGCGTTGTTTAAAAGCTATTGTTAGAGGAAGCCATTTTCTCTATTTGACTGCGCGGGATTTCATATTTTTTCATCATGAAAGTTTTAATTACAGGTAAT